ATGGTGGGTGGGCCCAGAGGCTAAAGTGTGTGGAACTACATTTTATTTTTATATTGCATTCTTACACACCCTATCCTTCATCCAGACAAGCAAAAGGTGTTATCAGAATTCAAGAATGCATTGCAGCCAAGCAAAAACACTTAAGGGAGGCGTGAAGAAAAGCTGGTGAAAGGTATGACCTGGAAAGAGGGAATGTGGCTAGGGAGGGAATGTCTCCTGAAGAGAGTTCTGAAGGCTGGCTAGAGAGTCCTGGAGGACCACATTCCACTCCCAGGCCTGAGGTTCCCCACCACTCCTCTATGGTGTGACAAGGTTCCTCTCATCATACTACACTAGGGAGCTGTCCAGCAGAGCAAGAATAGAACCAAGGCAACATCCATTTAAGGAATCATCATATTAGGAGCTGGGTAGAAGGAAATGTTTAAAAGATGACTCTGTTATTTCACCCGTTTCTGGAGCATCGGTTTCGGTTGCTTCTCCAGAATAGGGCACAGGTAGGAAAGTTCTTGTGCTTATTAGCGCTGATAGCAAATCCTGTTGGAATCAGCTGCACTCAGCACGAATCATCCATTTGGTGCTGACTGCAAACTCTCTTTGCAGCCCAACTTGAGTTCAAGCCAGACTGCAAAGGAAGGAACTGGAAGCACACTTGAGAATGCACTCCCAATTATTTCCTTTGAAGATGGGTCACCTGGCATCATAGTGATGTCAGCCAATTGACAGGTGGGCAGCCCCACCCATCTGTCAAAGTGACCCATAGAGGGTAGGGGAGCAGAGAATCTACCCCACCTGCTGGACATTGTTCACCTCTGGTGTATATGAAATGATGATACAAACTGAAGGGTAAAGTTTTCTATGAAGCTAACCTGTAAAGGAAGTTGCATCCAATTAGTGGAGCTATTCCTATCCCAGCATTGCCTGGGGTAAGTGGTTACAATCAATATCAGGTTCTTCAACTTATAATGTTTGGGTCCATGTTCTCTATCCATTGATTTACCTTTGATGCCTCAATCAAACTGTTGTTTATAACAACAGCAACTTTAGCTAATCTCTCAGAAATAATGAGATTAATCACAGTAAGCAGTACAGAAACCTTGTTTTGACTGCTTCTACCTCTTCAGGGACAACAAGCTTCATTTTCAATGTAAGAGAGGGATAAATATTTGGTTTTGTTTTTTGAGTTTTGTCTTTTTCAAAGTAAAGTCCTTCATTATATGTTCAATATGCAAGGTTCCACCACAACCACTTGAGAGATTTGCAGTGGATATGGAACTCTTAACCATATTTCTTAACATTTTTTTAAAAAAATCTAAATGTTATTATTAAAGCTAGGCATACAATGATGCAAAAATCACATAAACATTTTGAGCAGCTTATTCAATTCCAAAATTCTATACATGGTAAACCATTGTTTCTAAGATGTCATTTGACACCCCTTCCAGCCCTTCAATTTGATGATTCTTTTATTCCAAATCTTCTCTTTAAAAAATGAAATGGGGGGGGGGGAATCTTTTCAGAAACTTCCAAGACAAAGACATTCACATCTTAAGTTCTCTTTTTAGGCAAGGAGAACTAAAGCAAAGCAAAGGGAGCCATCTTGAGCCATAAGGATGGCGAATCCTCCAAAATCCCAATTTGGACATTACCAACTCTAGTTTTGTACTGTTTTTGATTTTGGAACCAATCTAGGTCACAATGACTCTTAAGAACAGAAGACATGCAACAGCACTCACCCCTCCTATTGTTTCCAGCAACTGATATTCAGAAACATACTGTGTGAAATAGTGGAAACAGAATATAGCCATCGGGATTAGAACCCTTGTGTTTTGAGGGTTCTGTGTCCTCACCTGCCAATGAAGAGATGGCTGCCAAAGGAATTGCAGGGTTTAAAACAGGGTCAAGAAACCGTGGCCTTTCAGTTGTTGTTTTACTTAATCATCAATCAGTCCTAGCCACCATGGACAACGGTAAGTGAAGTTCTGAAGTGCAGCAACATCTGGAGAACCATAGGTTTCCCATCTCTGGTTTAGAAATTAGAGTGAGTTCAAAGGGGGCAGAAGTTCAAAAAACTCGCTCCTCCAGTCTCAGCCCTTCCCTATTGATTCCTACCCAGCCAGATTCTAAACATATGCTTGCGGAGTAAAGTAGGAGAAAGCAGGTGGGAAGAAGGTTGCAGGAGAAAAGCAGGGGGTAAGGGAGAAGTGAAGTGTGTTCATTTACCCTGATTCCTTCCCCACTGCACATCACCACATCTCTCAGAGCTTTAGAAGCAACATGGTGCAAGCCTATCTTACATTGTGTCCAATTATGCATCCACACACAGGGAAACAAATCAAGAAAGCCAGCAATGCTGCTCCACGTTTTGGAAGTCCCAATCTCTCTCTCTTTTTGTGGTTTTCTCTGCTTCCCCAGTCCAGCCTTGGCTCAGCATGCCTTTTGAAACCAGACAAGGTTTGTCTCTTGCATTAGCAGAGATCAATCTTGAGTTGAGAAATCCATTCTTGGAATTGACCTTTTGAAGTGGCAGCCATGGAGTCTTCAGGGAAACCTCTCTTGGTTCCAGAGCTCTGAATTCAGCCCAATCATTCAACGACATGATCGAGGGCACAGAAAGAGCAAAAAATCCAATTGCCGTTCAGGGTGCCGGCAACTATTAAGCTTAGCGAGCACGGCTAAAGCTTCAGTTGTGCTTTTGACTGCAGAGCTGATAAATAACTTTCCAAGTGTAATTAATAATCACAACAGCCTGTCCAGAAAATGGAAAATGAGAAGGTCAAGGGCAATGATTAATCCAAAATATCCCCTAATGTACCAGACTCCAGTGGTCATTTTAGCACATGTTCAAAATGGTGATGTGCTCATTCAGACTTGCAGTTGCCTTAAAGCAAGAGTACAGAGCTTATGTGCCCCCCTCTGATGTTTTATATTACACACATCAACCTCAGCTAGTATGACCAATGGAGATGGGAAGAGCTGTGGTCCAGGGGTAGAGCATCCGATCTGCATGCAGAAAGCCCCAGGTTCAATTCACTGCATCTCCAGGTGGATCTGGAAGATACCTCTGTCTGAAATCCTGGAGTACTGGTTCCAATCATTATAAACAATACTGAGCTAGATGGATCCTAATGGTCCGACTTGGTATGAGGCAGTTTTCTGTGTTCAGGACATGAAAGAAGATGCAGTTCAGAAATATTCTTATTACTCTATGAACAATAATCTGTGTATTGGGGGACTCACCCAGCACTGCATTAGTAGAAGACAAGAATAGGGCATCTCAGAAGTGTTTCTCAGAAGTGCCCCTCCATTTTCGTTGTTGTTGTTGAATGGGTGAAGGAGGGACCAGCCCTTTCCCACCATATCCACTAGATCCACCCTCCTCACTTTCATTCATCTGGCAGCAGGTCTGAACAGGGACCTTATGCACCTACTGTACATGTGTAGACCCTGTGCAATCAAGGTTTCCAATGGCATGATTGAGAGCCTGCACCCATAATACTTATTACGAACCTTCCCAAATCACTTTGCCCAAGAAACTGTGGTAGTGTGAATCCCCTTACTACCGCATTCTTTTCAATGAAACTTTGCTTTTTCTTGCTCCCTCACTGTCTTTCTCGTTTCCCCAAATTTCAAGTCTTCTTCCTGTGATTTTTTTCCCCTTCTTCCCTGCCTCTTTCTGTGTTAATTCTTATTTTCTCTTCCCTCTTTCATTTCATTTCATTCATTCTGGGGATGGGCAGTATGCTGGCTGCTTGGGGGGGGGGGGTCAGAGCTTAGAATAAACCCCACTTACATTCCCATATTTTATCCCCCCAATGCAGACATAAGAGTGTAAAAAGATGGCGACTTACAGTGCCATCCTATGCTTGTCTACTCAGAAGCAAATCCCATTCAGTTCAATGGGACTTCTAGATAAATTGATACAGAATTTCACAGGTTTCAATCTCACGGACATGCTTCTTTGCGGCTGAGGAGCTCAATGGGGCTTACTTCTGAGTAATCCTCTACACCCTTTGGAGTAAGAACCACTGAATTTAATGGATTGGACTCCTAAATATATATGCATATATATGCATAATTAACCAAGTAATGTGGAGAGGCAGGGTTTGAACTCCCTAATCCCTACACTAGCTGTCCTCAGAAAGTTATTTACACTCTCAACCATTTATTTGGAAACCTGAAAGTTTAACTTAACTGGGAAGCTTAACTGGGACTAACTGAGCTCAATGACTGAGCTCAATTTCTTTCACTTTCCTTCTCCCTCCCTCTCGCTTTCCTTCTCTCTTCCTGACATATCCGTGCCCCCTCCTGCTTCCATGCAAGCTCCGATAGGTAGCCTAAAGCCTCCCTTCATAGCTGAGAGATCTCCCACCCCACTCCTGCTTGCACGCAAGTAGGAGTTGGGATCAGGGCTGCTCTGATAAGGCAGCATGAAGCCTCCCTTCAGGGCACTGGGATCAGGGAAGGTGGAGGCAGCCCAGAAACTGCATCTTAGAGCCCCTGCACCACCATCATATGGGGACTTCCCATTGCCTTGGCCACCTCCTCCCTCCTTCCCCTTCTCCCTCCCTCCTTTATGATCTTTCTGCAAGACCTGGACGTTCAAGAAGGGGAGGGTGTGGATGGGTGTGCATGTTTTGGGGGTTTTTGCATTGCACAGAGCGCACTTTTCCGGGTCCCCCCCCCAAATCAGACTTCAGGATTTTGGTTTATTATTTCATTACATGATCGACACTCGCTCGCCCTCCTCCTCCCCAGCTGCTGCTGCTGCCGCCGCCGCCGCATATACATTCCTTTCCAAGCCCCCTTCCCTCGTGCCTTTTTCCTCTTTAATAATCATCATCTCGCCCGCTTTCGCCCTTTCTCCCGCTCTCGCCCTCCCCTCCCCCACATAGTTAACCGTTAGGGGGAACTCCGTACGGGGGAAAGGAGAGAGGAGGGGAGTTTGGGAGAGGACGCACACTGGGGAGAGGGGCGGGGAAGAGACGACGGCGGGATGTACGATGGCGGGGAAGAGAGAGATTACGGTATTTGCAAAGCGCAAGTTCCCCGAGAGCGCCAAAAGAAGGGAACAGTCCAACTTTGCTCCTGAAAAGCTCCCGCTGGAAAATTCCCGCACAGAAAAAGTGGGGGGGGGGGACAGAAAAAGGGAAAGTAAACCCCCTCCCCCCATGGGCGGGCAGCAGTTTGCCCCGCCCCGGTGCAATTTAGCCTTCCTTCCTCACTGTCTCATCCTGGCGCCCTGCCACCGCGTAGAGACGTCCCTGGGTCCCGGACTCCCGCTGATGGGCACCCCTGATGGGCGCGTGCCGTGGCGTAGGGTACCACTAACCCTAATGGGTAATACGCCCCTGGTTTGACCATACTGCGGGAGGCAGTGGAAGGAAGGAGTGCCTGGCGTGCTCCTTTCCATGGGGTCACGAAGAGTCGGACACGACTAAACAACAACAACAACAAATATATATACTGAAAGCGACCTGTATGGATACGCTTACCCTTCATGCTTTCTGCTGAATGCAGAAGGTCAAGAAGATAGTAGACATGGCCCTGATACCCCTCATTATGTTCTGGAAACATGTTGAAAGCCACCTTTGAAAAAGATTAGACTCCCTTCCAAAATAGCCTGCCAGGGAAGGATCAGGGAGAAGCTGCCATGACCAAAAGCTCCCATATATTCCCTGCCTCTTTGCAGAGCAGGTGTGCCAGCTGCAAATGAAAACCGTGTCTGCTGGGAGGAAGGTGTCTCTGGTTCTGACCCTCCCTGGAACTTTATAATTTCCATCCAGATTCGTGTGTCCCAAGCAGATTGTGATGTGCTCCTTATTGAGAGAGTCTAAACCATGTGAATATGAGTTATGAGTACTATAACCTGAAAACCACTGTGATATTGATGTTCTAAAGTGACGTACCTTGACATTGCAAAACCCAGGTTCAAATCCCCTCTCAGCTATGAAGCTCACCTGGTGACCTACCTAGGTCCAGTCACACCCTCTCAGCCTACACTACCTCACAGGGTTGCTGTGAAGATACATTGAGAGGCATGAACCTGATATGCCACCTGAGTTCCTTAGAGAGAAGACAGGTAAAAATAACACATAAGCATAAGGTACTGCCAAAGAAAATGGAGAGAGATGCCAGACGGCATACGTAATCTTTGGTCTAACAGCAACCTCCCAGAAGGTCTTTGAAAGATCACTGTCAGAAGAATACAAGGCAAGATGAAAGAGAATGAAAGTAGCCAGAATGACATAATGGGAACTGGTGGGGAGGCCACCCAAGAGATGTGCGATCAGTTGGAGGGAACGAAAGCTCCAGTTTAATTGCATTTTATTATTTTATGATAGTGTCCTTCGGGATCTTTTTGCATCAGATGGTAAGGCTGAAATAAAAGCAAATGAGTAATCCACGTCTGCAGTGGGGCTTGAAGCCTGGTCTTCCATCATCACGGCCTAACTGGTGTACTTCGTAGAACTGGAAGGGACTTTGGTGGCCATTTACTTCAACCCCTACTCCATGCAAGATCTGCAGTGCAATCTATAGCACCCCTGACAGATGGCCATCCAGTCTCTGTTTAAATACCTCCCTCGAAGGAGAGCCCATGATATCCTGCAGATGTCTGTTGCACTGCTGAACACCTCTTCCCATTAAGAAGCCTCTTCTAATGTTTTTTCTGCCATCCCCCCCAATCATTCTGCTTCCCTTTGGGCAACAAAACTGCTCTGTCTTTGACAAGGCAGAATATGTCGCATGCAGTTTTCCCTCCATTTGCAGTGTGCTTCAATTAGAAAATTAGAAGAAAGTAGGTACAATCCAACAGTGTCAACAAAGTTGTCTTGCTGTTGAGCTCTTCAATGCTTCGATGCTCTTGACAGACTAAGACTTGGGAGAGCAGGGTTCAGATTCCTACTCAGTCATGGGCCTGTTACTGACTCTCAGTCTAACTGACTTCACAAGGTGATTAAATGTGGAAGGGGAGATCTATTTATGCCACCTTGTGCTGTTTGGGGGAGCAGTGGGATAAAAAAACATTAAATAAAGCAACAAATAAATAAATTACCAAATTACAGACAATCAGTTTCAGTGTGCTGGGCACATTTACACCACTTGTTACGTTTTTGCAGGATGATGAGGAACCATTAATGAGTACTCTTTGGGTACTACTCTATTCTGCCTTGGTCAGACTACACCTGGAATACTGTGTTGAGCTGTTTGGCTTCGGTCAGTCAACCAGCTACAAATCCACCTAACAGTTACCTCATTCAACCCATATTTTACCAGCTTCCTCGTAAGAATATCATGGGGGGCTTTGTCAAAAGGCACACCACTCCTGGGGGCTTCTGGGAGTACTATTGGTGGTTCACTGCCACTTTTGTCCTTATGGGCCAGCTACGTACACCTTCTCCCAGGTTCATTCCCTGGAGCCAGTATTGTGCAGTGGTTAGATTGCTGGACTAGGTGACCAGAATTCAAATCCCCACTCAGACATGGAGCTCACTGGGCAACCTTGGACCAGTCACTGCCTCTCAGCCTAACCTATCTCACAGGGTTGTTGTGGGGATTAAATGAAGAGGGCAATAACCATGTTCCTTGGGAGAGAGAAAAAAGTGGATATAAATGCAACAAGTAAATAAACTCCAGTTAAAAAGGTCAAGTATCAAATGATGACAAAGACTTTGGCCTGAGACTAGAGCCACTATCAGTCAGAGTTGACACTAGTGGGGCAGATGATGTGGTATGAGACACTACCCTGTGTTCCTGCCAGAGAACAGTTAGATAGTTATTTATGAATTCACTTCTTGGTGGGGAGGAAAGGAGAGAGACAAATATCCTTCCTTCTAGGGCACAAAATCCCTTATGAGGAATGGCACTCCTAGAAAAATCACTGTGGTAACTTGTCTTCCTGGAATCCTGTTTCCTGCAGAAAGTAAAGGGGGAGAAGACAGTTAAGATTATCTGTCAACTACCTCGCAACTTAAAGGAGACAGCAGTTGTGGGAGCAAAGTCAGTGCTAAGAGGGAAAGTGTTTTCTCTTGAAGATTTGTTGCACGACAGTTAAAATAAATGTGCTTCTAAATGCCATTTGAAAAACCCTGTGACACACCCTTCATCATAAAACTGGCGTGGCATGGCCAGGGAGAAAAAGTGGGAGTGAGAATGCGTTTGGCAAGTCTTCTACCTTTCTTTCCCAAAGCCATACACTCAGCGCCATCTCTCTCTCCGTATGACAAACCTCCATCTGTTATTTACCAGTTTTCACTGCCATCTCTTTCCCAATGGAACTTGGGAAGGAAAGGCTGGTGACCAGGTTGAAAATTCTCAGTTAGTGGTCTTAGCTAATAAAATTATTATTGTTGTGATTATGATTATTACTCTCCCTTTCAAAGAGTCACGGTTCCTAGAGTTCTCTAGGAATAGGGAACAACTATGAAGCCCTAAATTCAATGGTCAAATGGTCAATCCCTCTTTATAGGGAATTCTGGGAACTGTAGCTTTCTGAGGGGAATATGGGATTTCCTAACAACTCCCAGCACCCTTAAGAAAGTCCCCAAGGTTCTTTGGGAGAAGCCATGCTGCTTAAAGTGGTAGGATACTACTTTAAATGTATTGTGCAGATGGGGCTCCTGGTTGTAAAGGCAAGCCCTTCCTCACCCACAGATTCTGAGAATTTGCCCACCCACCCTGAATATTGCCAGTTTTCCCCAAGACACCTTTTGGGGAAAGTGTGTGATTTATGGGAGGTTATTAGGTTCTTACATTATAGCTCAGGAACAGGAAACCTTGGGGCTTGGGGCTGAATGCAGCCCTCCAGACCTCTCCATCTGGCCCTCAGAAATCTCTCTATACCATACTCCCTACCCAGGCGCAGCCCCAAACCCAACCCACAATCTTTACTGCCCCTGCTTCGCAGCCTCCTTGAGGGTCTTTTGCCTAGCTGAAACACAATGTGATAATGCCTCTTGCTTGGCTGGATGAGGGATGAAGAAGGGTGTGTGAGTGCGTGTAGAAAGTAGCCTACTGTAAAATTCATGTTCTTCCTTTATCCACTTTTGCCTCTGGCCCCGCCCACCACTGGCATGTGGTTCTCAGAAAGCTCCCAAAAGGGGATGTGGCTCTTGGGTCAGAAAAAAAGGTTTCCCATCTCTGCTTTATACATAATATGTGTGTGTGTATTTCTCTATATAGGTTGTAATGAACAATGAATTCTTTGTGCATGGAAAACAGCTGAGCATAATACCTTACAGATCTCTCAAAGAGACGCCTGTCTGCTCCCAAATGAATTTTTCCAAAGCGTTGTTCTCCTTTTCGGGCTGTATGCTTTAGAAGCCTCCTGTGGGTTGGAGGAAGTCAGAATGAATTTACACTTTTCCCTACTCCCACCAACCCTCCTCCCCCTTTGTGAGCTTGACAATTATCCCTTTTTATTAGAGAGTGTGGCTGTGATTTAGAGAATATGATCCTGTTTAATACAAGTGAATTTCATGATAAAAGCTCTTCAGGTAACCGAGGCATAACACACACAAAAAGAATAGCTCTTTTCTTTGAATATACAAGCCTTTCTTCCCTACAAGAACATTGTCACTTTATCTTAGTACCTGCAAGATTTGCTCCCATGTCACAATGACTATCTTTCCTCTCTTACATGCTCTTGTGGCTTTTAGAAAGGAAACAAAACCTTATCACTCTAAGAACTACCCAGGTTGCATAGGTGGGGGGGGGAATTATAGGATGTGATATGACTTTTGGGGTGGAGATGGCAAAGTGAGGATACAGTGCCGTTCCAAATGTGACTATAAAGTCTTTGGATTTGTTGTTGTTGTAGTCTCATTAAAGAGCAAAATTTTGCACTTCTGAAATTTCCTCACCGCAACATCTGAGAAGTGTAACACAAACGGATATTACATTTCAGATGCTGAAAGTACAACAGTCCCTGCCAGGGCTTTTTTTCAGCTGGAACTCACCGGAGCTCAATTTCGGCACCTCTCTTAGAATGGCCATTCCAAGAGAATGAGGGAGGCATTCATGATGAGTTACAGCACCTCTTTTTCTAGAAAAAAATAGCACTGGCCCCTGCTCAGACCATGTCCCCCCAGACATAAATTCTGCCTTTGAAATCCCAATAATGTCCAGAGAAATCCAGACGTATGGCAGCCCTAAAGAAGACATAGTGTATTCTTGGAGAATCAAATTTATTCTCTCCTCATGCTCCTGCCTCCCAGCATGGCAACAAGGAAGAATTTGGAAGCTTTTGCTTCCATTTTTTATTAACCACCGCATCTTGTGTTTGTCTGAAACAAACCAACTTCAAAGTGTGGTTT